AAATGACCTACGGCCAGCTCAGTAATGGCAAAGTGATCAGACTCTCCTCCGACAGGACTGCCAGGTGCACAGAGGATCTACACTGTGGACTCATTTTTATTACTTGGCCGTGGGGAAGGCCAAAGCTGCTTCATGGCTACACCATTTTGCAGAGGAAAAACAAAAAAGGAGGACTGATTCCCACAGAGCAATGACATCTCCTGTCATTGTGTTAATCACCTGTCCTTGCGCAGGGTGGGAAGGGCAGGGGAAACATCTGGACAAAGCCAGACCAGTGGTTTAGCAGCAACAAGAACAGCATCAGGGTGTCAGCAATGACAAGTGGGGCGGGCAGCTCCCATCAGAGGAAAAGGACAGCCCTCAAGGTCGCCTGGGGATTGTGGCTCTGCTGAGGCGTGCCTCATCGCCAGCTGCCTGCACAGAGGGGCAGGCAGGGCAGAGATGGGGCTGATCGCAGGCCCACTCTAACCTTCTGGTCCCACCCAGGGCCAGGGGCAGACAGGGAGGGAAGGGGAAGCTGCTATGGCGAGAGGAGGAGCCACCCAGTCTGATGGAGCAGTCACATTTCCTACCCCGCCCAGCTCTGCTCCCTCAGACGCTGCTGCTCAAGCAACCCCAAACAAAAACTGCCCCATAACTAAGGGAGATGGAGCCTCTGTGTCCTAATGACTGGCTTCTGAGGACAGCCACACCCTTCCCCAGCAGCCACAGCACACTTCCCAGACAGCCCCACAGGCCTCCAACTCCAGCTCTGGGGTTGGAACAGGAGCCAAAGCCAGGGACCCGAGTTGCCTTGGCCGCTTCCCGAAGAGCAGGGTGACACCCGGAAACCAGGGCAGAGAAGGCTGGGAGGCACGTACCATCTGCCCATAAGAGTTACTTGCAGGCTGTCTGGGGGCTGAGGGATAGATGGAAACCCTCAGAGACCATCCCAACCTTAGGCCAACAGGCTGCATTTCCCCTCAGGTGCCTCCAAATGCTCCCAAACCCACCCTCCTTAAGGAGGTCTCAGAACACCACGACCAGCCAGGCAGAGAGCTCTGATCTCAGACCTATGTCCTCCACAGCCACAGGCCCCCTGAGCTCCCCTGCCAAAACCAACAGCACAGTCTGAGCAGGAGCTGACAGAGCCTCTGGGAAGCCACAACTAGCAGTCACAACAGTTTTAGTCTTTGTGACAAAAAAAAAGATAAACTGGTCCTAACCCAAATGGAACCCATAGCTTTGGCTTTCTCAAGGGGCCAACCTCTAACCACTGATCCAAGAGGCCCGGGATGACGGTTCTGTCCTCCACACTCCAGGCCTTACAGTAAGTAGGTACCATTTCACTGCATATCGAGACCAGGGAGAAGGTGCATGAGGGCTCCACACAGCAGGGCTGTGCCCTGTCCTCCCCCAAACGCACACAGATCAGCATTCCAGAGGGCAAAGACCAGGTCTTCCCAACCAAAATGGCCTCATGGCAGATTCCCTATCTTCTCACTCCCAAACCTTTGCTGCTGCTTCCTTCCTTCCTGTCCCCTTCAGGGACATTCCCTGGGGGCATAATCCACACCAATCGCATAAAGGCCAGAAAGGCCCAAATGATCCATCTGACCCCACAGGAAACAAAGAGAACTAACTAACTGACCACCAGCACCATCTCATCTCTGTCTCTAGTGTCAGGGAGGCAAACACAGGGCACTCACTGGCGAGTACTGGAAGGATGCTGGAGAGAAAAACCAGAAATGAAGTAGCGGAGAAGCATCTCCTAGGATTCTCAGACCCATAGGAACTATGACGATCCATGGACAGTTTTACTGAGGGGAGAGGGTGATAATCAGTTTCCTTGTATACTATGTTAAATTTTGTTTTCATAATTTCCTCTTTAATTATTTAAAAGCCTCCAATAAAATTCCGCACCTCAAAGAGTACCCCACTGACAAAGGACCTTTGTAGGCTACTGAGACACCTAGAACCCACGCTGCCACCATCACACAAAGCAGGGCCTCAGAGTAACCCTAACACAAATATTCTGAAGGCTTCTATGTGTCCAGAACTACACTAAGGCTTTTACAGATGGTGTCTTGTTTAACCTGTACAACCCTATCTATGATTATCATCATGACCTTTTTGGAAATGAGGGAATGCGTTAAGTAACCCGCCTGGTAGTAACTACCTGAGTGGTAGTTCACTCACAGAACTGGGAGTGAAACCCAGTCTTCAGGTGTTTACACCCTGTGCTGTCCTGCCTTCCCCCAAAGCAGGGGCAGCTCAGGCAAGGCTGCCAGGGAGAAAAGCTGCAGAGCTGCAGGCTGATCTGGGCCTGGCTTCGGGGCTGCAGAGGCCTCTCAAGCCCAGCCCTAGTTCTCAACCTCCAGCAGCACGGAGAATGCAGAGGGCTGCAAAGGGCCAGCTCCTTCGTTGGCAACTCTCACACTCCTGTGTGTACCCTGCCACCCACGGCACTTGGCTTTCCCAGGTTCTAAGTTCTGGACTGTCTCCCACAGCACATGAGCAGCTCTTCCAGGGCAAGAGAACTTTTCCAGACTAGGGCTACCAGACGTTGTTACCAAAACCTCCCTCCACCATCACTGCTGTGCACTGACCACCTACCATGCCCAGGGACTGCACTTGGTGCTTCAGTTATATTCTCATTTCGTCTTTCACATCAACCCTGTAAAAGTGTAAATGAGCTCCATTGTACAGATGAGAAAACTGAGGCACCAAAAGTTTACATGACTTGCCATAGGTAGCAGATTTGGGACTGGGATCTGTTCAATGCAACTCCACAGCTCCCTCTCTTAACAATGAGGGTACCCTTCCCCACTCGGGTTCTCTCTTGGCACAGGGCCACCATCTGCCTCCCTGAGACCACCACAGCCAATTCCTGGAGTTAAAGAATGGATATTGTTCTTTTCCACCATTATTGAAAGCTAAGGAGGGGACACCCTGGTCTTTTCTGTCTTGCCCTCTCCCTACCAAGCAATGTTCAGACTCACTGTCTCAGCAGCCCATGCTAGGGTGCTCCAGGAAATGCCACCAGGAGTGGCCATTAAAGCCAGAGGTGGGAGGTAGGGACAGGAGCAGGGGTGGCAGCCCTCACTCTCTGTAAGTGGGCATGCCGCTAGGTCCAGTGAACTGGAGAATCAGGCCAATTCCACAGACTTTTCCTCTGCCCACTCTAAGTGTCCCTCCCCATTCCGGCCCCCTCCAGGTTCTATAAATAACCCAGGTCTCAATGTATCAGAGGAAAGACAGCCAGGTGGGTGTGGAAAGATCCTGGTGGAAAAGATGACTTCCATAAAGTAAATTAAGGCTCCCATTCGGATTAAGGGGTGGCAAGTCAATTTCTCCAAAACATACTGTTCTTAGCTGAAAATAAGTCCACCTGGACCTACAGGCTTGGCCAGCCCAGCTAAGGAAGATCCAAAGGCCAAGAGAAAAGCAAGGGTGGGAACTGGACGTGGCGGGGGGGAAATCAAAGAAGCCCCTCCCTGCAAGCCCAGAGTCTTTTTTTTTTTTTGTCTGTCCCCTCCTACCCTCCACCCACATGTGTCGTCTACCAGTCTGGTCTGCGAAACTGAGTGGTAGAGGGTGAAGGACTGGGGAAGGGGTGGAGTGATTTGTCCCCTTGATTTGGAGACAGGCACCTCTTCTGAAAAAGACTGGGCTAAGAGATCCAGGGGAGAGCCTTCTGCCCCACCCCCTCCCCCTTGGGCTCCCTGAGCCAGGAAGGAGGGAGAGGACCGAAAGAGGGAGGAAAAAAACAAAACAAGGGCCAAGCTATACCACATGATCCCACATCCAGCAACCAAACAGCAAGTCATGAAGGAAGGAAGGGAACAGGCCCGGGGAGGGAGAGATGGAGTCAAGTCACAGCCCTGCCTGGAATCTGCCCTGAACTAACCATCTTTCCACCCCAGGCCACAGCCAGGAAGGCCATTCCCTATCCATGTTTTGGAAAATGTTCAAGGTCAGATAATTTTCCACCCAAATCCTGCTTTCATTTGGGTTTGTACCCTGCTCAAAGCTCATCCCTCTCCTCCAGCAAGCTTCCCTAGATTTACTCAGTGGATGCCATTCCACCCAGGCAAACCTTTCCTGCACCTCTCCCCACCGACAGCACCCCCCATACCCTGTTGACCTGGTCATTTCCAAGTTAACTACTGGAGTAATCCACAGCAGGTTGTCAGCCCTGGGCACTGGCTTCCAGATCCTGCCCAAGCCAAAAACAGGAAACGGGGCTTCAAGTCCGAAGCCTTGATCTTAACATAGGCAAGGTTAAATGCTGCCAAGATAAATGATTAAAAAACCCACTGGCCCATGTAGGTGGAAGTGACTGGGAGACGATCTCCTGCCACGCATTAACCATGTCACTGCCTCTACCTCGGGCAGGATAGGCAGGCTGCTTGAAAGCTGACTCAAGTGTTTCCTTCCCTTATTTAAGAGGTCCTCCTATACACAAACCAGGGACACAAGACATGGGTTGGGGGGCATCCAAGAACCAGGCAAGAGGCAGATGGGCCTGCAGCCAGCTTCCAGGTTTGGTGGAGCGTCTCCTAGAGGATGACACCTGGCCTTTCGTCCCCCACAGGGTGAGACTGCCTCTCCACTCTCCTGCAGGCCTGGCCTGGGGCAGTTGCCTGAAGTTCATCTCCCCTTTGAAAGGGAGACAGGCCTGGAGGCCCTAAGAATGGTCCCAAGATTTTCCTTCTCGTGGTTCCCAAAACCCCAAAGCCTCTCGATCTCATTTTTAACTTTACTTGACAATCTACTCCTAACGCTTGGCTGCCCCCTACACCTCCCCCAAGCCTCAGGGACCCATCAGCGACCAACCCCAGCACAGGGCACGTTTGCAGGCCAAAAGGGACCCCGAAATAAGAAGAAGCAACTTGTCTGTCAGTTTACTCCTTGAGCGCGAGGCAAGGGGCTCACCGCCCCAGCCGAGTCCTGATCCCCCACCAGCCCCTCCCAGTTAGGCCTTTAACCGTTTCTGCGCCCCCGCGCCCCCTACTCACTGCGTGTGTTGGGCGCGGCCTGCGCGGAAGACCTCGTCCAGCGCCACGGTGGCCTGGCCCAGGAACTTGTCCACGCCGATGAGCGAGCGGTGCATGGTGGTGAGCACCAGCTCGCAGGCGGCAGCTGAGCCTGCGGCCCAGGGCGCCGGGCCCGCATCTGCCTCCTGCGCCCGCAGCAGGCCGTCCAGGGCGCCGGGCGGCAGCTCGAAGGAGCACTCCTCGCGCCACTCTGGGCAGCCCGGCGTCTTCTCAACCACCGACGTGCTGTACTTCTCGCGGCCCACCTGGATCACCGTGTACGCGTCGCTGGTGCTGCCCGCGCCCGAGCTCTTGCCCCGCAGCCCGCGGGCCCGCAGCACCGTCACCTGGACGTGCGTGGGCAGCCAGCGGGAAGGCCCCGCCGCCGGCTCGGCGTCCCGCACCAGGGCCATGGCGGGGGAAGCGGCGGCGGGCGAGGGCTGGCCGGACCAGGCACAGACACCCGGACCAAGCGACAAACTTGGCAGCGGCGGAGGGCGGTCAGGAGCCGGCTCAGAGCGCCGCCGCCGCCCGCACACACGGCCGCAGCGGCTGCGGGCTGGACTGGGCCGCGCCGCCGGCCGCCGCCTCCCTGCCTGCCCGGCCGCCGGCCGCGCCGCGACGTCAGCGCCCGGCCCCGCCCCGCGGCCCCGACCCGCGTGGCGGTGCGGCAGTGCTGCGGGGCGCCGCTCGCGCCCCGGCCGCCGCAGCCCCGCCCCGAGCGGGAGGGGGCGGCCGGGGGCGGGGCGAAGCGCGCAGCCTCTGCAGAGGGGTGGGCGGGGCTCCCGCGGTGGCCCCGCCCTGGGCTGGGGGCGCCGGGTGCAACCCTGCCCCTCCAGGGTGAGCACTACAGCCTTGGCCGGGTATGAAATGCCCGCTCTGCGCCTCCCGGCCAATCCCAAATCTTCCTTCAAGACGTCCCTGCTCCGGAAAGCCCTCGCCCTAAAACGGTGCCGGCCCGCCCCTCCCGGGTGGCCATCCCCCTCGGCGCCGACTTGGGGGGTGAAGCGGACCCTGGCTGCCCCCTCATCTCGGGCAGCGCGCTCCCTTCTCCAGCCCGCCCCTGCCCAGGAAAATGCCCGAGTGAAACCAGAGCGATTCTCGCCCCGCCAGGTGACGGCCCCGCATCAGCGACCTGGAAGCGGGTGATCCGGCGCCGCCTCCGACCTCCCGGCGCGGGAGGGGACCACCGGTGCGGCGCTGGGGACCAGAGAGCGGGGTCACCCTCTGCGGACACTGCAGCGGAGAGCCGAGTGATGAATAAATGAGTAACCACATCAATATTTAAGTGTTCACTCAGCACTGGGGCTCATGCGTCGCGGGTTGGGGGAAATTACAGGCTCTGGTGGGGTTTTAAATAATTACTTCCACCCATTATAAGTGCCTACTATGTGCCCAGCCCTGCGTATTACCTGTATGCTTAGTTTATTGTTAATAACAATGGTTAATAATTATAGATGCTTTCGGCAAACACTGGTCCATGTCCTGTATGTGCCTTACTTCATGTTATCCTCAGAGCAACTCTGAGTGTGGTTTTGAGCCCTGTTTCCAGAAGATAAAATTGCAGCTTTGGTGAATCTGCCCAAGATCCGTAACTGGCAGAGATGGGATTTGAATCCACACAAATGCCCCCAGAGCTTGTACGTTTCGTTTGTTTAACTTTCAGAGCCTGTATTTTTAAAATAATAATTTTTAGATAAAGTGTAATACACATAGCTAAAAAATCAAATAGGACAGAGGGCTTATGATGAAAAGAAAAAACTCCCTCCCCACCCCTCAGTCCCTACACCACTTAAAGCCATTTGTGTTTTCAGGCCTGGTGGTTACCTCCACGTCAGTATGCAAAAAGCTTACATAGCGATATCTGGATTTATCAGGACTGGCCATTATCTATTGCCTTCCTGCTATAATAGATAACGATTTAGCTCACTCACACCCACTTCCTTCCCTCAATCTTGTGTAGTTATGCTGTTATTTTTAGTTCCTATGTTGGATACCTTTATGATGAAAACCTTTATTTCTTCTTAGGGAGACTGTCCACAGCACCCCTTGACTTTCACTCTCCAGGCCACGTCCTCCACCAGGAATACGGATGTAGGAAACCAGTACACCAGGCAGAGAAATCCCACTGGAGCACACCCACCACAAGCCCAGTTCCATCAGAAGCCTAGGGTGGGGGAGTTCTAGGCACTGAACTACACCACCCAGCATCCCCGCGGATAGCCCCCGGCTTTGGAGACAGCCAGAGCTGCCTGTGGATCTTGGCTGTCTGCCACTTAGTAACTATAAGACCTGAAATTTAATGTAGGTCTCTCACCTCTCTCAACCTCATTTCCTCATTTGGAAAATGGGGATAATGATTCTTTACCTCAAACAGTTGCTGACTATTTACAGGAGAAAATATTGTCAAAGGTTTTAATTAAGTAGAGATCATCACAAATGATCCCAAGGCATCTGATCATCATATATGGCTTTTTTTCTGACTATAAAAGTAACCTGGAAAATACAGAAAAATATAAAGAAAATAGGCCGAGCACGATGGGTCACGCCTGTAATCCTAGCACTCTGGGAGGCCGAGGCAGGAGGATCACTTGAGATCAGGAGTTCGAGACCAGCCTGAGCAAGAGCAAGATTCCGTCTTTACAAAAAAATACAAAAATTAGCCCGGCATAGTGGTGCACACCTATAGTCCTAGCTACTCAGTAGGCTGAGGAGGAGGAGGATCGCTTGAGCCCAGGAGTCTGAGGTTGCTGTGAGCTATGATGATGCCACTGCGCTCTAGCCCAAGCAACAGAGCAAGACTCTGTCTCAAAAAAAATAGAAAAATTAGCTGGGTGTGTGGCACGTGCCCGTAGTCCCAGCTACTCAGGAGACTGAGGCAGAAGGATTCTTGAGCCCAGGAGTTTTGAGGTTGCAGTGAGCTATGCTGACTGCACTATTCCGGGTGACAAAGTGAGACTCTGTCTCAAGAAAAAAAAAAAAGAAAAGAAAAAAAATAAAGAAAATAAATCATAATCTGACTATCCAGAAATAAATGCTGTTAACAATTTGTTGTATTTCTTTCTTTTTTTTTTTTTTTTTTCTATTGCAAATTTCCATATCAGACCAACTTTCTTTTGTTTTTTTTTTTTGGAGACAGGGTCTCGCTCTGTTGCCCAGGCTAGAGTGTCCTGGCATCAGCCTAGCTCACAGCAACCTCAAACTCCTGGGTTCAAGCGATAATTTGTTGTATTTCTTTCCAGTCTTGATCCTACACTGTATGTTGTTTTATGTACATTATGTTTTTGAAGCAGCTAGAGTGTACTGATTAAACCTGTGGGCTTTGGGGTCCTGGTTTACCATTTATTAATGCTTTACATACATTATTTCATTTACCCCTGAAAACAACCATTTAAGGCAAGTATTATTGCTACCCTCAGTTTCACTGATGAAGAAACCGAAGCAGAAAGAGCTCAGGTAATTTTCCCCAAGTCTCCAGCTGGAAAATTGCAGACTGAACTTGAACTCAGGTCTGAGTGACTCTACTGCCTGTGGCACTTTGCTCTCACACCAGCTTGTTGGTCATCTGAGCACTACATCCATTTAAAGTCAGTAGAGCAGGAAGTATTCTAATACCATTTTACAGATGAGGAAATTGAGGCACCAAAATGTTAACAACTTACCCAAGGTTACAAGAGTCAGAATGCAGTCCCCACTTTGGATTCCCTAAGGGCTTTACCAATGAAGATATATTTACCAATCTTCAACTAACATAAATTTGTCACACCTTTAATGGTTCTGTTTCACCTATTTGCCTACTCCCCAACAGGACTGCTCCCACCTCCCTCCTTCCCCCTCCCCGTGGGGTAGCAAAGCTCTGGGACAGGGCATAGGGAACTCAGGGGGCCACTCTGCTTGGCTCCTGCTCTCCTTTCTCCTGCCCAGGCCCTGGCAGTCTGGCAAGCTCAAACTTCCTGCTGGCTCAGGACTGTGGCTGGCTGTAGGAGGGCAGTGAAGCCAGTCAGGGCTTCCCTGCGGGTCACTTGGCCCCAGAAGGGAAGGGCGGATCTGCAATTATCTACAGTTGAGAAACTAACAGAAACTCCAAAGACACTGAGGTCTTAGCCACCTAGAGGTGTTTCTTCCTCTAGATGATGGGACCACCCCCACCCCCTGCTGTCTGTGTGAGAGTTAGGTGAGAAGACCCCGAAGGGTCAGCTTCCTCTGCCTCCCTAGGGCTGGGTTTCCTCACTGCCTTCCTGAGCCTCTGTAGTCCCTTACAGAAAATTCTTGCTTGAATAGCATTGTCCCTTATGTAATTTCCACTGGTTTGCTCACCTCTGCAATACCACTTAACCAATTCGCTCTGCCACATAGACACTTCAAATACATTTGTCCGGCCCTTCAAGCTACATTTCTCCCTGTTATTCATCTCTCTTTCCTACAACCGTTTCCTGCACCCCCTCTATAATAGAGTCTCAAAGCCTAGGTCCAAATCCTGGTGCCACTACTTACTATTTGTGTAATCTCGGGTTGAACCCTGCTTAGTCTCAGTTTCCACATCGGTAAAATGGACCTAATAATAGGAAATTACCTCATAGGGTTAGCATGGGAGCTACTTCAACACACCCTAAGCAGTGACAAGTATTAATTATCTTAGAAATCTTTTCTCAAAGCAAAAGGTTTACCTCCTTGTTGTTTCATTTGCATTTATTTGATTGCCAGTGAGATTGAACATTCTTTTCAGCTATTAGTCATTTGTATTTCCTGCTTTAATGAATTGTCTATTTTCTGAATTGTCTTTTCTGTGTCCATTTCTCTTTGAAGCCTTAATTTCTTATTAATTTATATTAACCCTTTCTGTGTTAATAGTAACACTTTGTCTTTCATATTTATTGCAAATATGTTTTTCTTTTTGTTTTGAGACAGGGTCTCACTCTGTTGCCAGGGCTAGAGTGCAGTGGCATGATCATAGCTCACAGCAACCTCAAACTCCTCGGCTCAAGTGATCCTCCTGCCTCAGCCTCCCCAGTAGCTCAGACTACAGATGTACCACCACACTCAGCTGATTTTTAAAAATTTTTATAGAGGTCTCATCCTGTTGCTCAGGCTGGTCTCAGACTCTTGAGCTCAAGTGATCCTCCCGCCTCAGCCTCCCAGAGTACTAAGATTACAGGCATGAGCCAGCACGCCCGGCCACATAAATTCTTATATATACTGTAGACAGTCTAAACTCTGTATTCTATTCCACTGAGATTTATATTAATATCATTGTTTTAAAATTATTGTTGCCTTTTAAACAGTTTGTTACAATGTAAGAGCAAATCTTCACTCTTTTATTTTTTTCAACCTGGCTCATCACTGACAGAGCTAATTTTTTTCCTCAAAGATTTTATAGCTACTCTCATCTGTATGTTTATACACATGAGCTCCAATTCTACTTGGAATTGTAAGACAAATTGTTGTGAGAAAAACTGACATCTTTACAAACAACAGTCATGCCATTAAAAATCATGGTATACTCCCTAAGGTAAGGGAATAAGACAAGGATGTCCTCTCCCCACTTCTATTCAACGCGTGCTTAAGGTTCT